GGTGATTTTCACCATAGTGCCCTATACTATGAATACAACCAGAATGCCTTGCCCACTTTCTGTTGCAATGTAATTAGCCCCAATTGTTTCACTAATCTCCAAAKGGATTAAAAATCTGATTAATAAAGAAAATATGCAGACCATCTTGGCAGTTGTAATCAAATGACACCATGGTGGATATAGCCTATTACATATTGTATCTATGTCAAGTGGAAACAATTTGARCATTTTACCCTTTTAAGTCGTCTATTGTAATTTGTCCGTCTCCTGTTTTATCCAGTTTATTGAAAGCTTCGTCAATGACCCTTTTTCTTGCTTTGCTCATTGGTGGCTGTTTGAGATAAAGTCATTTTAATAAAAAAAAATTGATAGGGAAAAATGGGAAGAAATGACAACAGACTTTCTACCATTTCAAAAGTTYAAATATCCATTAACATATTAACTATTGTGAAAAAATGAAAAAATATCAAGAAAGGTTAAACTGTAAAGTACTATTAACTTATATATATAAACTTACTCGAAGTGAAATGAGAAACTCATCGAAGTCTATTGTTCCACTGCCATCTTTGTCAAAYGCACAAAATATGTTCTTTACCTCCTAAAAATTCCGTATTGTATTAGATAAGAAGGCCAAATCATTCAAWTAAGAATTTAATTTTGCAACAAGCACAACTGTTTAGGTATACACGTCTTATGCAAATGTTGAGTATTTTACGCATTCTTCTCGCTTTACTCGATCGTTTACCTTTGGTTCTAGAATGAGTCCATAATCCTTCAGTCCTTTCTTAAACTCTTGAAAGTCAAGTTTCCTATTACCATCGTCATCCATAATTCGGAAAACCCTACAAAGTTGAATAAAAACACAAYGTTAGTAGTAGTACTGTTCAGCGAAACCACTGGTAAAACCTCAATAACAATAACAATCTACAGCGAAACTTTGAAGCCATTTTCTCTCATTTTTTTAAGGTATTCCTACCTTCCAAGGCCTTTAATACCCGATGAACCTCTCGATAAACAAGCAAGCCGAAGCTTTTCAACGGGGTCTTTCGTTTTGTCGAAGTTTTTCTGACATTTTTGTCTCATTTCTCGTTCATGTCTCGCTGTTGCCGCCATTTTGAATGTATGTGTGACGTCACGTACAAGMTTTTGTAGTTGCAATGTTTTGTTTCTATGGAAACTCAAAAAAGCGGGCCCTACCGGGATTCCTGTGTCATAACTCTCCATTTTACTGTCATTTGTGGAAAGACAAGCTAGCCGAAAATTGTCAAAATTTTACTTGTTTCAATTAAAAAGATAGACGTATTCTACTCGAAATTATATTAATCGGTCCCGTCGAAACATATTTTTAAAAACTGGGTCATGGCCGCACTGGTTTACCAGGCCATTATCAAAATGTCAAATATCTACCGAAATGCAGTGGGGTTTTTTTTTTCAGACCTTACGCATCCCTTAGGTATACATTGCCACAAATTTATTATATGTATATCGGAGCACATGTTATAGTCAAAATATTACATATTACAATAATCCCTACCTGACAAATATACACGATATACGAATACCTATATTGAGCTTATCTGATACGAAATACTCGTATATATTATGTGAAATAAAATGATTGATTGATTTAAATTTGCACACATTTTATTAAAACCAAGACAATACCTGTCACAACCGTTGTATCACTCGAATAGTATATTTGGCGTAGAGATTAATGAACTCGGTGAATATTAAATAACCCAACAACKGAAAATCTTACCTTCCAAGTCCCATAATTCCGCTACAACCACGGGCTAAGCATTTCATCCTTAGCATTTCAACAGGATCTATATTCTTTGTGTCTCCATTTAAAATCTTGTCGCATTTTCGTTTCAAATCAGCGTTCTTCCGTCCGGTAAACATTGTAGTTCGATTTGATTATTTTTTCAGTTAAATTTCATTCACTTCCACCGAATCAAATCTTTTTCGGAGTAAATCAGTTTTGCGCAAAATATCGGAAACAAAATTCCCGAGAATTGCAGCTGTGTTTATATAATATAGCTATGTTATGTTGATAGAGAGTTAAGTGAGAATGGTGTCAAACGAATTGTTCGGYACAAACACGTGGTGCCGGGTTATAATGACGTTAGTTGCTATGGAGACACCCTCTAGAAAACACACACTGAGCATAGAACTGAAAAATTCCCAACGAGTAACAGGAGCACACTGAGTATATACAACAAAATTCGCCCATCGGATCAGATGATTGGCATATTTATCTCGTCTTATCCAGAACCTGCGCGCGCATTTTTTTCCGTGCGACAAACAAAAAGTTGCGCTGGCTTTGGTTGCGAGATTGCTAACTGGAGTTTTCAAACATTTCGACAAAAATCTCAAACGTTGAGTCTTACATTGCTATTGAATTTTTTTTACGTTACATGAAAAACAGTGCCATATAAAAGGATCAATTTATCCTTGATAATGCTATATTTTGCTAGCAATAAAACAACTGGATTTTTCCTCATAACAGTTGTTCTATACTGTGCTATTTTTTAACCAACTGAAATAATTTCAAAACAATACAAATTTTTATAGTTTACTCGAGTTTTATTTCAAATGGTAACAAAGATGAAAAAATATATAATATAAAACTGTACAATCATAAAATATACATCTTGTTTCTTACATCTAGAGACTTCATTACATTACTATGCTTCATAGAAATAACTTTGATAGACTTACAAAACTGTGGTTTTGAGGCCGTGTTCAGTGATGTTACAAAATGTTAAACTAAACCATATMCAGAGTGCTCCGACCCAACCMAAATTTRWTAAAGRTMAAAAARTAATGGTCRTAATACAAAGCGTTTGCTACCAGCCCCTATAAGCCTCGTTCCGAGAATGTCCGAACACTGTACCATCAATGGCATTATTTCATCGTATGATTTCGTAGCGCATATATGACGTCATCCTGGTTTACATTTAAGCTGATTCGTCTTTGGAGATCTGAACGGCCTGTTTCYACTAAAAGCAGTCGACTGGCACCAAGTCGACCGAGTATTGAGGACGCTTCTGTCATGCTTGGCGTTTCGCTACCTGTTGGGTATAACAGAGCTAAAATAAGACTAACAATAATTTCAAGGGGCATGATCAAGCTGGAACTTACCTTCAAGACGACAATGGTTGCACAACTCCTCAAAAACCTGCAAAGATATGGGTCCATTACGTCCATTTTAGTTGTTAATCAAAACATTTTAGATGGGCAGCCCCACTCCCCTGTATACGAGAGTTTATCAAAAGCCTTTCTATCTCTTCTAAAAAACTAATCTTTCTTCTAGTTTTTCTGAATGGAATCTTCCCTTTCGTTTTTCGCCAATCAATCAATCATTATTCAACCAAATATCATGAAACAACTTACATCGCCAAAAGTGGTCTCTTCCACTCCTGTCCTCTTGAACTCAGAGAGGACGGCTTTCATCAGCAGCATCTCATACGATGACAAATTCCTGAAAAAAATAAAATGCTAATTCAAAAAAAAGAAAAAAAAAAATTGAATAAAAAAAGGGTTGTGAATGCGAAAACGATATATTCTTAGAAAAATAGCAGTTCTTGCCCTTACTTGGAAATCCCATGACCATGGAGCGAACCCGGAAAATTGTAAAGCGATTTAATAATTAGCGGTCCCAGCCCTTAGCTACGCCTTTCGTCAGTCCGAGTTGGATGGTTTGAAACCGTAACTAATACATTACACATTAATTCGTGGTAAAAGTTAATAATAACAGTTAATAATAACAGATAATAACAGTTTATGTAATAATACACTACAAAACACAGCATTGTGAGCCCTTCTTACATCATAAGTTTTATCTTCGGCGAAGAAAACATGTCTTGTAAAGCTAAGTTCACTTCATCCATTGCAACGAGTCTGCCTTTCTTTGACTTCGTCTTGGTGTCTTGCTGCTCGGTTATYTCRACCGCGCGACGACAAATGTCGAGACAACGACGAGCATCACCMGATACCGCAGCGACCTGAATACGAAACATAATATATGAATGRSTGGGATTGTTGCRTGATAGATGGATGGAAGAGAAAACGAATGGAATGATGAGCCACAGCTGAATTCTCATAAAACATCCCTTGATTATTTCACTTATTTTCTGTCTTTCATCTCTTGATTAATTCATTCCATCCTTTAATTATAAAGTAGTTTAATTCAAATTCGTTTCCAGATCGTTTCCGCAACAAATGGAAGAAGAACTAAGAATGAGGATTTCATAGATTCCTTTCTTCGACTCTGTCCTTCATTAARTTATTCAATTTATTTAGTCATTCATCATTCAGTTCTTCTGCCCATTAGATGTTCSATTCATTTTCCCATATAATCAATAATTACCTCACCGTCCCATCCAGTCATCCATCCACTTCCGTTTCCTTTCAATCGCTTATTAATTCACTTATCAAACCATCCACAAKCTATCCATCAAGTCTTATTCAATTTTTCATTCTTTCGATCAGTCAGTCATCCAATAAGCCTTTTTCCAATTCAATACGAGCGACCACTGTTTTAGTAAACAACAAACTTGCGTGGAGGACAAAAGGAAGTACTAAAAATGACATTACAATAGCTCTAGAAATTTGAATCTTCTCCGATTTGAGGCTTAGCCTGAGCAAGAACTTGAACCTTCTGGGAATACCGGCTTAGAGCTATTGTAATGACAACACATTTTCGTRCTTTCTTTTGTTTTTGGTMAGGTCTCCGCGCATGAGARACYGTTGTCAACTAAATCAGCGGTTGTTCGCTTTGAACGGGAACMARG